CCGCCCCGCCCCTTGCGGCGCCCCGCCCCTTGCGGCGCCCCGCCCCTTGCGGCGCCCCGCCCCTTGCGGCGCCCCGCCCCTTGCGGCGCCCCGCCCCTTGCGGCGCCCCGCCCCTTGCGGCGCCCCGCCCCTTGCGGCGCCCCGCCCCTTGCGGCGCCCCGCCCCTTGCGGCGCCCCGCCCCTTGCGGCGCCCCGCCCCTTGCGGCGCCCCGCCCCTTGCGGCGCCCCGCCCCTTGCGGCGCCCCGCCCCTTGCGGCGCCCCGCCCCTTGCGGCGCCCCGCCCCTTGCGGCGCCCCGCCCCTTGCGGCGCCCCGCCCCTTGCGGCGCCCCGCCCCTTGCGGCGCCCCGCCCCTTGCGGCGCCCCGCCCCTTGCGGCGCCCCGCCCCTTGCGGCGCCCCGCCCCTTGCGGCGCCCCGCCCCTTGCGGCGCCCCGCCCCTTGCGGCGCCCCGCCCCTTGCGGCGCCCCCTGGCCTCAGAGCGCGAAGTGCTCCCTACCAAGTGCTGGTTACCCGCGTGCATTTCTATGCAAGGGACAAGACTGTTTCGGGTCGGGGATAAGTACCCGTAGTAAAAGCCCGCAAATATTTCGTTCAGGACCAGGTCGTACATGTGTTTTGGGCATATTAATCCTATTTTTAAAATAACCCTTAACATGCAAGTCCGTTGGTCGCCTGACGGCTGTACACCATCTTCCCTAGTGCCTGAGCTCTCCTGCAGGCCTCGGCCAGGGCTGCCATTAGGGGGACCACGGGGCGCTCAGGCCCTACATTTCCCTTCGTGTCTGTCAACAGCAAAGCCGCTAGGTCTCCCAGGAAGAGAAAGGGCGTGGCCGCCTTGCGTCGACCTTCTGTCCGTCCCGTGACCGGAACTCTGTTCGCACTTGTTTCACTGGCGGCCCTGGGGCGGTGAGGGCTGGGGAGGGTGCGGGCGAGGGGGCGAGCGCCGGCATCTTAACTGGGGTGCAGGGGCCAGCTTCAGCGAGGGTCCGCGTGCTGCTATCCCCGCGCCCCTAGCAGGGCGCGGCAGGCATCCATAGGGTCCACAGCGCCCTCCAGTGGAAGGTCGGCTTGGCGCGGCACAGGCCCCGGTGGACCCCTGCGGTCCCAGTCAGCGGAAAGGGTTCCCCCGGGTGAGGACGCGCTGGTGCCAGAAGCAGCCCGACAGGGTCCTGAACGTGCTCGCCGCACTGGTAGGGCTTCTCCCTGGTGTGGACCCGCTGGTGCTGAACGAGGTTGGAGCTCTGGCTGAAGGGCTGACCGCACTGCTGACGCGCAAGGGGCTTCTCGCTGTTGTGGAACCGCAGGTGCTGCGTGAACTGAGAGCTGTGTGTGCACGAAGGCCTTCCCGCAGTGGCCGCACGTGTAGGGCTTCTCGCCGGTGTGGACCCTCACCTGAGGCGGAAAGCCCCCCCGCACTTGCGGCACTGGGGAGGCTTCTCCCTGCTTGGAAGCTGCCGCTGCTCCGGGACGTGGGCCCCTCACGGGGAGGCCTCGGGGCGCACGGCCCGCTGCAGTGCTGTTTCGCCCGCAGGGGCTCCCCACGCCTGCTGGATTCTGAGTGGCTCCTCCAGCTGGGGTCGCAGCTGCCCGGGCTCCCTCCTGCGCGGTCTTCCTGGCGGGTCACCAGGCTGGCGGTCATGGTTCCTCTCTTCCTCGGGACTTGCCTGGTGCACGCAGGCCTTGTGTGGCAGCCCTGCCCGCCGCTGTGAACCCCGATGGTTTCTGCACGGCCCGGCAGGTCCCTGGCCCTGTGGCCCGGGCCTTAGGACCTTTGTCCCCGGGACACCCTGCGGTTCTGCCCCGGAATCTGCTCCTCACTCTGAACTCCGTCCTCATGGTCTGAAACCAGAAAGGGAGGCAGCAAATGACACCAGACTCTGAACCAGAGCATGGAGAGACTTCGGCAAAGGCCGCATCATCTCATTTAAATCAGCGCGGCGGGAACAAGGAAATCAGGCCCTCTGTCTGGGATGGGGTTATGCAGGGATCAAGGTCAGGGAGCGGAAGGGTGTTAGAAGGACACAAACTCCCAAAACACTATTAAAGAAAAAGAAATCTGGGAGCACTCCTAACCGCTTCCAGTTTGGTGCTGATTCCAAACGAGTTTTGCTCAAATAAACTCTTAAAGTTAAGACAAAATTTTAAAAAAAGAAAAGAATTCTGTTAAAACCTGTCCTCCTTGAGGACTAGCCTTCAATTTCCCCTGAGATCCGGGGCCTCGCTGATCCCTGTGGCAAGGCAGCAGCGCTGGGGTGGGGGGTGGGGGTGGGGCACTGGGAACAGCCCGAGGAGGCTGCACACTGAATGACAGATGTTAAGGTCAGGACCTGTGGCCCAAGGGACAAAGACCGGGGCTCGAGAGGGGCGTACCATGTCCCTGGGTCCCCGCCTCTGGAAGAGGAGAGCCTGGCCCGGTCCCCTCGGCAGGCAGAGTGGGGGTGAGGTCACAGCGGGTGACAGCGCTGCCATCGGTGAGATGAGGATTCGTGCTGATCCGTGGAGAGGTCCTGAGGAAAACACACCCCAGCTGTGCAGATGGGGCCGTGCCCAGAGCCAGATGCTCTCCCCAAGGGCACACTGGCCTGGACTTAGCAAGGTCCACCTGGACACTCCAGGATGAGCTTCTCTGAAATCCCGGGCTTTTCAAATCTTCCAGAGGACTCCCTAAAATAAGGAGTGGGAGAAGCATGGTTCGGGACCCTGGCCTGTGGCCGTCCAGGCCCTGCGCCCAGCAGGCCGGGGGCGCCCTCCTCGCGCACGGACGAAGCTCGGGCGCCGGGGGTCGAGGCCGCCGGCCACGGTACCGAGATTGGCGGGGGGCGCGGCTGGCTGGTTGTGCTGACGGCGGGAGGGAAGGCCTGAGGGAGCCGGGCGCGACGC